GGAAAACGAACGATTTTCATGCAAATTCATATTTTTGCAAGTGCAAATTTACAAAATGGGACTTGGACGTTTCGTCTATTTTCGTAGTTTCAAATTTGTTCTGGATGTAAATGCATAATGCAATACGTAATCCAGATAAAGTGAATTCCATTGATATTTTAGATATTGAAACTGTTTGCAATTTTGTAAAAAAATCTTTGTAAAAAGAAGGGGAGATTATTTTATAAATAATTATAAACTTGAGTTTGTTTTAAGCCTGAAGCTTCTACTTTCATTTTATTTTAGAATGTCACCATTTTGGTAGTTTCAGTGTCAAAATTTCATTTCCCCGATGACGCGACGCGATGCTTTTATTTATACATTCTATGAAGAATTATTTAAGTTTTCAAAAATACACTGTTTCACATCTGTAAAATATCCAACAAAAGTTATTATATAATTTGGTCGTTTTGATCATTTTAGAAGTTCCAGCGTCAAAATTTCAATTTAATCTCCCCGACAACGCGACGCGAAACTTTTGTGTATTCTATGAAGAATTATTTAAATTTTCAAAAATATACTGTTTGACATCTGTAAAATATCCAACAAAAGTTGGTAAATTGGTCATTTTGTGACAAAATTTCAATTTAATTTTCTCGATGACGCGACGCGAAGCTTTCATTTATTCGTTTTATTTAAATTTCTAAAAATACACTGTTTCACGTCTGTAAAATATATCCAAGAAAAATTATTATACAAATTGATTGTTCCCACCATTTTGTTCAGTTCTACTGTCAAAATTTCAACTTGATCTCTCCGATGACGCGACGCTCAAGTCCCCAACAGTTTTCACATTCGAGCGACTTCCAAATTTTCGCGGCAACTTCCGAATCCCGCGTGATCCACGTGAACGGCGTTCGTCCGGGAGAGACGGAGGTTTATCGTTCGAGCTTCCGAACGGAAATTACGTCATGTCCCGTGAAATTTCCGGCAGCAGTCGCGTCGCGAGCATCGACGAAGATCGGGCGTCCGCCGGTTCGATTGAATACGCCTGCGAATTCACATACACCTGTGAATTTGCGTAAGTGGCGAATCGTTGGACCAGACACACACGAGCTCACGCGGAGGTCAGATCGTCCGTGATACGGGCTGTTAATGACACCGCCAGTTGCGTTAATTGCCGGTAGGAAGCATACACGCTGGAAATATCGCCGACGTAATCCGCTCCAGCGATTCGAAAATAAACTGTGCAAATTACGCGCGACGATTTACGGCTTTTTTCCTCTCTCGCCCGAGTAACCATCTCGTTCGGCGACGATTTTCTCGAAAGAGGGGATTATGAGTCGCGCGTTTCAATTAACGCGCGAGAACGTGGGTGGCGAACTCGTGGACGTTTAACGAGTAAAGTTCAAGTGGGGTGAAAATGTCGGTTTTGTGTAAAATTCACTGTGCAACTGTTCCCTCCTTTCATATATATTTTTATATGATTATTGTATTATATATATTTTACCTTTTCGATTTTATATTACATTTATAATATATTATATGGTTATTGTATTATATATATTTTACCTTTTTGATTTTATATTAAATTTATAATATATTATAATATATTATATTTATATTACCTTTTTTTTATATTATACATATTTTATATTTTACTTTTTTTATTATTTCTACTTATATATTTTTATCTTTTTTATTATTTCTATTTATTATTTTATTTATTATTTTATTATTTTTATTTATATTTTTTTATTATTTTTATACCTTTTTTTTCTACACTTTTGCACAATTTTTCTCCCGAACCAGAGATCTGTCACCTTGAAATCTTGGAAGCACGACCCGGACAAAATTTGTGATTGCCAAATATGTCCTTCGAAGCAACGTGAACTTCCTTTGAGAAACATTTTTCTCTATGGCGAACAATTTAAGAGAAAATTACGTGGATAGTTTCATACATAGCGACAAACCTTGTATAAAAGGTTGGAAACGAATTGTACGCCATGTACGAGTTCTCTCTCGCGGTAGATGGCAAAATTTTGCTAAGTGGCGACGGAAATCAAAGAAGCCAATTTATTTGGCTTCGTAACACGTTCGTTTCTCGACAAGTTGAAATAAATTCCGCGAGATCGGTTAACCTTAACGTCAAGCACGCCTCGGTGATTGAGCGAATCGGGAATACGGGATCGTTGAACGAGCCGGTGAAATAATGTCAAGTGGTTCAACAAGATGTCGATTGAAATCGCACGTTTTTCTTCGAATTCTGCGGCAAACAAGCCGAGCTACCCGCCGGCTATTAATAAATCTCCAACGCAGTTCGTTACTAATTGAACGTAATTGAAACACGTTGAATGCCACGCTGATTTCACATGACTTGCCAACGTGAATCTGTTGTTTTATGACAGATATTATTGTTGAAATATTATCTGCAATAGATAAGTTGTGGTGTACAATGGATTTATTTTACTGAGAGGTCACAGGCGCTAGAATGCGTTTCTTCGATTTTCACTTCAGTTTCTTATTACGACATTTTATTTTTGCAAAACAGTGAAATTGAGGGTTGAAATTTCTTCACGTACGGGCCTGTAGAGAAAACTGTGCCATGAGATGAAAATGATGGCAGAATCGAGCGACAGTTTTGTAAAACAGGGCTAACTGGCGGTAACTTGCCCCTCTTTTTCTTTGTCGCTAATCCTCTCTACTACATCGATCTCTCCACTACATTGAAGTTTCCTCGTCGTGCGAACAATATTTGGTTCAAAGTTTCTACCAATCTTGAGAAACTGGAAAAACTCTGACAGACACGATAATATAAACACGCAAGAACACAAAAGAACAAAGACACGTGCATCTGCAAATTGTACGTCCTGCGTTTCACGAAACTTTCGAAACCAACTGGCAAAATTAGTTTGAATATTTCGAGAGTTTAAATCCTTTTCGTTCAATTATAAAACCGCGGGAAAAAGAATTTTCCCCCGTTCCTTTCGTCCTACCGCAACGAAAAATAGACGGCTCTATCGGAAAGTGTACAGAACAGAAAACTGTTCTCGGCTTCTTTATCTGCGAACTAAAACGAGCACACGTTTCTCCACAGATTAGATACATCTAATCGTTGATCGATGTCGGCGCTGTCTTCTGCACTTAAACGCTCCTCCTTTCGCCGTATCACTGTCACCGCAACTAATGGCTCGGATCCATTGTGTCTCGAAAGATCGGGATCTTCTCCTTTCGTTCCGCCAGACTGTGTACTGGACGTGCAAGATCGATTGAGGCGTTCTCACAAAAGTTTCCCACCCGTAACGATTATTTACGATTCAATTCCCGGATGTATCTCTCGTCAATCCTTTCATCGTCTCAACCGGGCACTTTCAATTATCAATACCGTATCGTATTTAGCTGATCGTACAATAATTTCGATCAATTGTACCATTTACATTTAATTCTAGATCTGTTTCGCGACAATTACAATATATTTTCATTGCAGACTATACTTGTTGTTGAATGAATCTTTATTTCAGCCTTTCGGCCTAGAAATAGACCTCGGTGCCTTACATTATTCTTTACATTTTGTTTTCCGTTTTAATTCCCTTGGTTGTCAAGTTTTCCCTTATTACTTTTCCCTTACATCTAGTACTGCTTTAACCTAACTTTATATTGTACATAGACTAATTAGACTAATATAGAATGATATTTGCACACCATTGCAGATATATTTCAAATTTTGCCAAAAATAAGTATCACAAGAAAGTAGAGACTTGTGGGATGACCCAATGTCAATCTTCATCTATCTGAAATTCTGCACCTTGCAACGTTCGATATGTCGATATTTGATTGGACAGGCCGGAGTGGCAAGGGTTACAGCCTGATTATACTTAAATACTAATGTAACGGCGGTCGAATCGATACGCAATTGATTGAATCGAATGCCGACTTTCGAATTCGAATTTTACTTGCGCGTTTCCGGTCGGCGACCGATAACGATTTCCATTACGCTGCGAAAGTACCGTCGGCAACAGTCGATATCATAATAGCAGACGCACGAATGGCTCATTACAATGGAGAAGGTATTAACGATTCGCGCATAACTTGATATCGATAACCTCCGGAAAATCCAATTACGGCACGATTTGCAGTTCGACGTTTCGGCTGATTGCGGCCAGGCTACCTTGAATGCTCGTTGGAATTCCTCGTGCACGTCAGGCGATGTTGGTTAACCAAAAATTTCGTAAAACTTGACGCTTTAGCGAACTTATTCTCGCATCCACGCGAAAGAACAATACAACAACGTGGATTTGTAATGTGACATGTAGAAAGAGCGTACTTGGGAATAATGGACGAAGCTATTCGAAGTCGAGACACTTCAAGAGAAATTGTATATTTAGGAATCCAAGTAAACGTGAAAGCACAACTGATTTGACACTAAAACTGTCGACGATTGAAGCGTAAAATTTCCACGGAAAGTAAGGGAAGGAAAAAAAAGGAAGAAAGACAGAGAAATTTTATAATACAAAAATAGTGCACTTTTTAGTGATACCACACATTTTACGAAAAATCAGTCGAAAATCTTTAAAAAAGAAAATACATTGTTCTATATTTATCTATAAATTATGGATTGGTCATTTTCGGTAGTTCCAGTGTTAATGAGCCATTTTACTTTAATCGAAATTTAAATTATATATAACGCGAAATATTTAAATTATTGTTTCAATTATATAAAATTTTACAATTATAATAATTGTAATAATAACAATATAACACAATAATATAATATAATAATTATTTTATAATTATATAATTATATTATATATATAATATATATATTATAATACATTAATAATATAATTATATATTTTATATATATATTAATATATTAATATATATGAAGTATATGAAGTATATGACTGTGAAACTTTGGGGTAGCGTTTTACAAAAAAAGGATTGCTACGTTCGAATTGCCCGCGCGTTACCTTTTCCAACGGATCAGTCCGACGCCATTAAAAGAGAATTTTCTTGAAAAGTTTCTGTTCGTGAGTCCGTAAGTTCCACGAGCAAGGAGACGGAAGTCGGTGACATTGACGGAAGGGGAACAGCAAAGAAAAGATATACATATATATATTATATATTTGGCGGGGGTGAGGAACGCGCTTGCGTGTTGACGATCCGTGCGTGTATGCATGTGTGGAATGGTGGAGAAAGTTGCTGGCGCACGATGCAGCTGATGACCTTGAACTCCCTGTTAATGTTCGACATCGTGTTCCTGTTTTTCCTGTTCCTCGTCGGGGTCTCCTGTCTCATGTACTACCTGCCCGCCACACGGGCGCATGATTTCGCCCCGCACGAGATCATCACAGCGAGAACGCCGCCGCGTTACGACAGGCCGATCGACAATGTTTAAGGTGAGTGAACGGCCACGAGTCTCTTCACCTGCGTGACACTCGAAAGTGTGTTTTGGAACACGTTCGAAATTCATCAGATCGATTAAAACTCAAAGCTCGAGACAAGGGATAAAGAAATCGGTGATACAATATACTTTCTCAGAATACTTTCGCCGGATCAGCTGCACGAAACAAACAAGTAGAGAAATTGGCGATACGATATACTTTGTAAAAATACTTTGATGAAATGCTGTTTGAAATTTGCTTTGCTTTTTAAACTTGCAAAATTGAAACTCAAAGGAATGTCAATACACAGTGAAAGTATTTGTCCACTATCTGGATTTATTTTCATGATGAGTAGAACACAATGCGGAAAAAGAGAAAAAGATTTTTGACCTTGAAATTCAAGATCAAGATCAATTTTGGAGGCAGGTTCTTTACATGTATTTCCATCAAAAATAGTAGAATTTATCTAGTCGCAAATATACTTTTCTTTCCACCCTGTACATGGACATTTGACAGATCCTCCTCTGTTCTACAAAGTATCGTTCAGTTTTTTCTATTTTCGAATGTTCTTCGATACCTCTTTTTTTTTTCTTTTTTCTTATTAATTTAATTACACTCTGCAAAACAAAAACGACTGAAAACTTTAATAAACGAGAATCTGGCCGCGCCTGAGTCTAACTCAAAACACCCGTTCCGCAAGTTCTCGTTGCAGCTTTATATTTTCAAAGTAGTCCGAGGTTTACAAGCTCCTTTAAGAGAGGACTCGAACAAGAGAAGAAGCACGGTGATATATTTTTCTTTCCAGTGTAGAACGTATCGTTTCAGTTTTACGTAACCGGCAGTGGCCATCGTTGAAACTATATTTTTACACGATTCGCAAAGAAGCACGACTGTGTATCGGGTGTATACCGTGCTCTTTAACTCTTTTCTTCCGTAATTATCTCTCCAGTATCCTCTTCCCACTTCCTCGATCGTAGAATTCTAGCACTTGCTTCGAGGTGTTTCCAACATATTACATATTACATATTTTGCTACGTATTACATTAATTACATATTACATTATTACATATATTTACATTAATTACACATTACATTATTACATATATTTACATTATTACATATATTTACATTATTACGTATTCGCAGATGAGTGTATTCCTTTCGCTGCACAGTTCAACAGATGTAAGTCGTAATTATATTGTCAGAATATTAATTAACGAAACAGTCAATATTCATCCTGAGAGAATTTGAGGACAATCCTTTTTTAGAAAACAGCATATAAAGATAAATATTTGTCGATGTATGAATATAATAAATTCGGGAGACATTCAGCAGTTAGATAACAGAATATAATTTTCCAAAACTTAACATTAATAACTTCTCTGTTGCGTGTATTCCTTCGCTGCACAAAATATTAATCAAGAAATAGAAAACTTGTGGACGATCCTTTTCTAAAAACTTGTCACGCTTTTTTAAATATTTGCCAGTAAATTTGATCGACTGAATGAATTCAGTTTGCTGAATACGGAAATGCAAATGTAACGAGTTTGAAAGATATTCAGTGTCTCGTGTTGAAAAATCAGAAGGGAGTCGGAGTCTAATTTTCCGAAACTCGATGTGAATAATCCCGTCGTCGTTCCCCGATTCGAGAAAAATTCATTTCCAGTTGGAAAATCCGTGTATATTCTAAGTAAACTTTTAAGAAACCCGCTCGGTCTCCATTTCTTTCCGAATTCCCTTTGCCTGAAACTCGCGAAAAGGAGCCGAGGGAGGGGAAAACAAGCTCAATCTCTCTCGAATTCTATCCCGCGAGATATCGCGAGAATTTCTTTCGATCTCTTTTTACCAGAACTTTCTCTTTAAGGGGGAAACCCTTTTCGGCGCGCGTATTCGCCCAGATGTATCTGTGTACACACACACACACACACACACACACACACACACACACACATAATCTCCCGCTCTCGCGCCATCGAGAAACGCAAAGAGCGGAGACGAAGCTTCGTGAGAGTTGCCGCGATATTGGTTGATCGCGGAGAAGAAGTTATTTACTTGGCAGTTTCGTCGCAAATGTTGTCCACCGTTCTCGCTCTATGCCCTATTAACTACGCAAATTTTCCACATTTTATTCATTTTAACGTATTTTTTACCAGCTACAACAAAAATATATATATATATATATATATATATATATGTAGTTGTCAATGACTTTGAAAGTCTTTAAAAAAAAATATATGTATATATAGTACATATTATATATATGTAGATGTATTTTTATTTATATTCATTAGTATAATATATATTATATATACATACATATTTTTTTCAAAGACTTACAAAGTCATTGACAACTATATATATATAGAGTTGTCAATGACTTTGAAAGTGACTTTAAAAAAAAATATGTATATATAATATATATTATATATATGTACATATATTTTTATTTATATTCATTATTATAATATATATTATATATATAGAGTTGCCAATGACTTAAAAAAAAATATATGTATATATTTTATTTATTATATATATGTACATATATTTTTATTTGTATTCATTATTATAATATATATTATATATATATATATTTTTTTTTTTCAAAGACTTTCAAAGTCACTAGAATTCTATATATATAGAATTGCCTTCTATATATATAGAAATGACTTTGAAAGTGACTTTAAAAAAAATATATGTATATATAATATATATTATATATATGTACATATATTTTTATTTATATTCATTATTATAATATATATTATATATATAGAGTTGTCAATGACTTTGAAAGTGGCTTTAAAAAAAATATATGTATATATTTTATACATATATATATATATAGCTGTCAATACTTTGAAAGTATTTGAAAAAAGAATGACCTTGACAAAAATATTCTTACCAGTTACTAGCCTTTTAGATACCATTCATGTCAGACAAAAAATATTTTTTGCACCATCACAATTATATTTAGGTGGCCACGCATAAATGGACCACTTTGCTTACTCGATAAATTCTCAAAATCGATTTTTTCGAGAACGAAGGCTCTTTTCTTTTCTACACGTAGAATCACCTTCCAGCTGATTGACCACGAGTCGCGCGATATCCTGTGTACTCGCGTTAAGTGTTAACTGATCGATTACAATACACGTTTCTTACCGCGTTTCCAACATATGGCGAGGCTGGAACGCTGGATTTGTAAGGCTGCCAGACCGCGACACAGGTCCCTCTCGCATAAATCAACCCCCTCAAATCTGGCAAACCATAATAGAACTTGTTACGGTACTATAACTGCCCACCTGCTGTGCGAGGTTCCTCATCACGCTGTTCTTTCTTTTTCGTCACTCGAAAGAAAAGTCTGATCGTTCCGCTTTGCATCGTATTAATATTTGCACTCGATTTGCAAAAAAGAAAGTAATATTCAATATAAACGTAAATTTAAATTTATTTAATATTCAATCAATATAAATATGATATAAACAAACTTAAATCACTAGAAATGACGAAAATTGTAAATTTCTTTTAGAAACCTTGCAAACTTAAAGATAAAAATGAAGTAGTTGTCCTAGAAATGTTTACGAAAAACATCTCGAAATTATTATTATTACGTATATAATTATTAATCTCGAAACAAAGAAGACGATTCGTAAATTCGTAAATTCGTACAATACTACCTAGCGGTTCGTTCTTCCTTGTTCAATATCTACATGTCGAATTTTTAACATTTTCATTTGTTCGTCCGGAAACTGTCTCGAAATTAATATCTCGCAATTAACGCAGAACAGTAGCGGGACGCGTTTCGAAAACAATCGGGCGTCGCGTGATTCCACGTGGAAAGATTCTCGCTCGAGCGGAGATGGCACTTTGATCGTTGCACGTTACAATCGATTCGTGGTGTTTCACGTTCATACTGTTTTTTTTTTCGTCTCTCTTTCTCCTCCTCTCCCTCTCGTTCGAGGAGATCGAGCGTCGTTCGAAACAACTCGGAACAAGTCCGTGACAGGTTGGCACGGTTGCGGATCGTCTGCTGATTTTTCTTTCTCTCTTTTTTTCTTTTTTTTTTTTTTTTTCCATATTTCGTCAAATCGCCGACCGCTGAAATTTCAATTCCTGTCGACTGACTCGACGCACTCGCTGTCTGATTTGATATCTGTCCGTGCCTCCGCTTCCTCCACTTCCGGCGACAATAACATCTCGTTGGCCTCTCGTATCTCGTGATGCTGGATTTTTCAACGAATACGGGGAATACGTGACGTCGTGCAATCGCAGACGCGAGAATCTGCGCGTTTTAACGTGTTACGTGTCGGTGGCTAACGAGAACTTGAAAACCTCGAAACAACGAATTGTTTTCACAGAGATCCTGTTCCTGTTTCTCGTGGAAAGTTCGCCTTTCATTTGCACGCAAGAAGAAAAGTACAGTTACAGTTTTTTGGCCAGCGCAACACATTTGTGTACGTTCTGTTCGATTAGATTTCGCAGTGTGACAATGGAACAGGCTCGTCCTAAGTTGCGCTGCTTTCGCGTGAATTAATTTGTATCGATTGTATCCGCATACAAGCCTTCCGATTCATCGCGTTGATTGACGCATCGGCGAAAAATGCCCCGTCTGTTTAACTAGCTCATCAATTCTGCGCGGGCTAATTCGTAATTAAATGAATCAAGTGTTAATTGAATCGAGCTTTGCGATTGGATTTCGACGACACGACTCCATGTAACGTACAGGGTGAAAAGAACTATTCTGTACAATTCTGTTCAATTTGGATGGAAATACGTGTAAAAAATCTTGTTTCAAAGTTGAAATTTTTTTTTTTTTTTTGCGTTGTATTATTCATCGCGAAGATTTTCTGAAGAACCATAGATTGCAACTTAATAGTTCTCTTGAGAAACGGCAAAAAAAATTTCGTTTCATGCGTTAACGTGCGTGCTAACAGCGACTTTATGGTTCTGATTGCGTGGATGTCTGTGAATTTTTCTATTAGATTATTTTTCTATTAAATTTCACTAATATTTGA